GGAGTGTTGTCATATTGGTTATAGCAGTAGGCTTGGGCTCTGAGGAGGTTGCAAGTAACCAGTTTAATCCCCACAGTCTGCTCTCTGGCTCTCTGAGCAAGACCCTTAACCCCACACTGTTCCCTGTGCGCCACACAATGGCAGCCCACTGCTCCTCAATGGGATTGGTTAAATGCAGAGAGTGAATTTCCCCACTGGGACAATAAATGGTTTTACAATAAAGCTATAGACATGTTTATACATCTGTGCTAATTAATTAATTTATGGGTCTACATAGAACTACATAGACGTTATTTTTCCTTAAATTACATAGAAGACTCTTAAATGACTGCAGGGACAGACTCTATCCCAAAGCATTAAAATGAATCCTTAAAAATAGTAGGAATTCTGTATTAGTCCTCTTTAATTTTATTATTTTATTATTTTGTTCTTAATATGTTTTGCCGTATTTTTGTTGTCAGTTTCAGGGTCAAATACTAACTTTCAAATATCAGGACAATCAATTAAATTCTGTCTTGCGTCGGCTCTAGAGAAGCTTCCTACTGAAAACACTTTGTTGTTTGCTAAAAATCTTTACCAGAGGATGCTCTCTGTTGTCCATAATCTTCTTTGCTTTATGAAGAATTCTTCTTTGGGAAATAATCTCCAGAGGTTCTAGAGGAGTTCCTAGAACAGAGCCGACCTTCTTTATTAGCTTTTTGAGCTTTTTTACGTCATTTGCTCTGATGCTGGTACCTCAGGAGATGATGAAGGAAGAGATCACACTCTGAACAACTTATAGACTTATAGAAGATGTGTAGCATGTTGTTGCAAATGCCAATAAAGATAAGCCTTCTCAGGAAGTACAATCTGCTCTGTCCCTTCTTGTAGATGGCTTCACAGTTGTGTCTACAGTCTAGTTTGTTGTCTAGGTGAGCACCAATGCATTTATACTCCTCAACCACCTCCACTTCTTCTCCCATAATGTTAATAGTATCCAGCTTGTTGCTGTTTCTTCTGAAATCTACAATCACCTCCCTTGTTTTGTTGACATTCAGGATCAGAGGATTGTCTCCACACCATGCCACAAAACAGTCCACACGGTGGAATCACTGCTGCCATATTCTGGTGTAAAGGAGAACTGCTTGTTCCAGAGGTGGTTAATTACATCCCAGTGGGAACAACAAATCACCTGGTAGGAGGGGCACAGATCATCAAGATCTGCCCCGAGGAGAAGAGCATGAAAACCACCAGTCAACCTGTTGTCTGAGAGCCAATAGCTGTTTGGAAGAGAAGGAAATTAGTTCTCTGGTATATGGCAGAGATGGATTACTTCATTAATTGAGCCTAGTTAGAACAGTGAGTAGGAGTTAAAAGTTACAGACAAATCTTTCTCCTTTAAACTAGATTTTTCTGAATCATCATCTGCCTCTATTTGTTATAGTGTCCCACAGGGCTCAGTGGTCGGCCCTCTTCTTTTTTCTGTTTACCTACTTCCATTTGGCTTTCTTTTCAGAAAACAACTGAAATGCAGATCATTCCTTAATTTCTCAATTTCACTGCTTACTATATTTTTGCTTAAATGCCTTCATGATATAAATGCATGGATGACTCTAAATGTTCTGCATCTTACTGGACAAAAAACAGAAGTAATGGTTTTAAGTAATACGTTAGAAACCTCCTCTGTAAATCTTTCCAATTTGGCACAGTTTTCTGATACCTGATGGTCAAATTAGGCCAGTAATGAAATCCAGCTCCTACCATCTGAGGCAGTTAGCCAGAATAAAGCAAGTCAGCTGCTTAAAACAGTAATATATGCTCAGACTATTATTCTAGCATATTATTTTTGGGAATTAGTGACAAATTTATCAGGTGCCTGCAGATTCAAAATGCTGCAGAATGGCTCTTAACTGGAGCAAGAAGGTTTGAGCACTCTGTTTTATTGTCACTCTATGGGTTACCTGTGCATTTCAGGATCCATTTTAAAGTGCTTTTATTTGCTTTTAAATGTTTCAATAGATTGGTAACCCTTACCTCTCTGAGCTCCCTGAAACCATATGTACCTGACCGCTTCCTTAGGTCTGCTCACCAGCAGCTCCCTAAAGTGAGAAAATTAACAAAACTTAGAGGTGAAAGCTTCTGAAGATAGAAGATGGAATAGGCTGTCATCACATATTACAAACCTCATCTCCCTTGGAGTTTAAAAACGGTCTGAAAAAACAAACCTTTTTGCAAAAGAGCTTTGTTCTTCCCGAGAAATTGGCTTTATTTCTATTTTCTGTTATCAGTCATTTAGTCTTTTATTTTCTTTTAATTTATCTACATTTTTGTTTTAACCTCTCTTTTTCCGGTCTATTTTTATCTACAATATTTACAGCAGTTTGTGAACCCTGGTTAATCATAGAATAATATAGAATTCGACTTTATTGACATTACATTGTCACAAGTGCAAAGCAACGAAATGCATCTATGCAGAAGTGCTATACAGGATAGAAATATTTATCCACATGTGTACATAAACTATGCATGTATGGATTACAAATGGTATATACAAACACAAAGTAATTTTAAGAGGCTATTACACAGGAAAGTTAGGGTATGGATTATAAATATATATATATATATTAGGGGTGGAACGGTTCACAAAATCCACAGTCCGGTTTGGTTCACGGTTTCGTGGTCACGGTTTTCGGTTCGGTATATGTTGATTGTTACCCCAAAATCCCATAAAAATGAATGAAATTAATGAGAAAAAAAAAAGTAATGAATTGTAATTATTTTTAATGATCCGCAAAAACCATGGATCATTTCCGGATGTTTTGCTGCTTTGAATGTAATCATCTCGCGCATGCTCTCTACGATCTCCAAGGAACTCAGAGCTCAGCGGACGGGAGCCACAGCGGAGGCTGTAGGCTTTGTGCAGGCGGTCTGGAGCGCAGCGGGGCAGAGCGCTGACGGAGTATGTGGGATTTCGGGGTTAGCATGACATGTTGGTCATGTTGCTGTTAGCATAAACAAAACGTGTTGCACAATGCTTGCACACTGTTGCACTTTTATCCACAACTTTCTTTCCGCCGTCATCGTAGGTCACTCTTAATGCAAAGTGCTGCTGGCAACTCCTGTTCTTTCCCACTCGC